TGGATCGCTGGTCCAATGCGCCCTTGTAAACGCCACAATTGCTGGAAGCGGCCAAGTGGACGCATTTCCAGACAGTGGTTCCAAGGTGACACTTGTTTCTCGTCACCTTGTCAGATCTTTGCCCCTCCTGCCCTGGACCAGACCCCCTCTAGTTGTCGTTGGAGGAACGACAGTGGCTCCTGCTGGTGCTATCTGCTTGAAGATCTCTGTGGGACCCATCACCGGTTTGGTGGAAGCCGCCGTCCTCGATAACAATGCCATGCCACTTATATTGGGGGAAGACTGGTTTGCTGCCAGTCACGCACAGTTGGTGTTCCAGCCACCCATGCCAACTGAAATTCGTCATCCCACCACAGGAACAAGTGTGCGGTGCTATGAGCGACTGTTGCCCAGGATGTCGAACGCTGTTATGATCCAGGGGTCATCTTTCAATTACCATGTATCTGGACACCACAGCTCAGCAGGCCTCCAGCGAATGCCACTCCCAGGCCCAGATGAACCCCCGTGGTTAGCACTATCTTGTCAATATGAGGTTTCAAACACCAACGGCCCGTCTTCTGAATGCAGGCGAGGTGCTTCTTCAACAATAGAGGTTTGCATTGACCCATCCTTGCCTGCCGCTCAGGTTGGTAGCCATTTGCCAGCACATCAACAACGGGAAATCACGAGCATTCTTTCGAAGCACGCTGAAGTATTCGCTCGTGAAGAGGATGACTTAGGTCTGTACGAGGGTGTTGAACACTCAATCGACCTTCTTCCCGATGCTGTGCCATACAGTCGATCCCCTTACCGTTACTCTGCTGCAGACCGTCGTTTTCTTGAGGCTCAAATAAGCACACTCCTTCGGCAAGGCATCATTCTACCAGCCTTAGGACCTTGGGCATTCCCCGCAGTGGTTGTCAGCCGAGGTAGCAAGAAGCGCCTTTGTGTTAACTATGTGCCCCTAAACAAGATGACTGTGAACGTCGTGCAACCACTTCCACATGCGGATGACATCATGGATGACATTGCTGGGTCACAGTACTTCGCCTGCCTTGACCTAAAGTTTGCTTACTGGCAAGTTCGCGTTCGTAAGGAAGACCAGGCAAAAACTGCTTTTGTGACCCACTATGGCACCTTTATGTGGACCCGCATGCCATTTGGGCTGAAGAACGCACCTGCCACTTTCCAGCGAGCCATGCAGTCAATTTTTGCTAACCTGCAGCCCCATTGCCCAAAGTGCGGTGTGCGGGTGTACTTGGATGATGTTCTGGTTTTTTGCGCCAACTTTTGACGAGTTTGCAAGGTTACTCGACGAAGTACTTGGTGCACTCCTTGCCAGTGGATTCAAAGTTTCACTTGACAAGTGTAAGTTTGCTTTGAAGTCTATCAGGTTTCTCGGATTCATTTTGAGCAGGGACGGCAAGCAGCCTGACCCTGCCAAAGTCGAAGCCATCATGAAAATCCCACAGCCTGCAAACAGCAAAGCAGTTTTGTCATGGCTCCAGACAGCAAACTTCTATCGCCGATTTGTGAGGAATTTCTCTCGGATAGCAGCACCGTTGCAGAGTCTCATACGGTCTGAGGAGTTTGCCTGGACCAGCGACTGCAATGAAGCCTTTCAGCGAATTCGCACAGCATTAACAGAGGCACCTGTACTGGGTCATTTTGATCCAGACGCCCAAACCACAGTCACAACAGATGCCTCAGGAACCGCAATTGGTGCTGTGCTCTCTCAGAAACAGTGTGGAAAAGAAACTGTGATCGAATATGCGAGTCGTGCACTCACGGCCGCAGAGAAGAAGTTGCATAGCAACGTTTGGGAGTGTATTGGTGTCCACTGGGCGGTTACGATCAAGTTCCGACACTACTTGCTCGGCAAGAAATTTTGCCTGTTGACTGACAACTGGACCGTTGCATGCTTAACAGCCAACATCAGGCCTTCACGTCGTTTTACGACCATGTTGATGGATCTTACAGAGTTCGACTTCACTGTGCAGCACCATCCAGGCCGTCAAAACGTGGTTGCTGACATGCTGTCACGATTATCTGCAGCAGTCCTCCATCAGACACAGTCTCTCGCAGCTATGCAAGCAGAAGACAAAGAGTGCCAGGACCTTCGTCGCTCTCTGTCATCTTCAGAATCGTGGGACCATGACCTTGCCATAATTGATGACATCCTGTACCATAGTGACGCGACTTCAGGTTCTCAAGCTATTGTAGTGCCGGCAAAGATGCGCCAGGCTGTCCTGGAGGTTGTTCATGACGGTGGAGGCCACATGGATGTAACCCGGACACTGACCAAAGTGAGAGAACGTTACTGGTGGCCAAACCTTACGTCTTCAGTGACCCACTACGTCACAGCATGCCAGATCTGCCAAAGCAACAACCGCCCAATATCTAAAAGTGTTGGCAAAATGGGTCTCATGCCAGTGTCGGATGTTCCTTTTGCCTTAATTGCCATTGATCACATCACAATGCCGGCTGCTTCAGGAAAGAAGTACATTTTGAATGTCATTGACTTTGCCACGCGTTTCATTGTCCCAGCGGCTGTAACTTCAACATCAGCTAAGGAAGTTATAGCACATTTACAGTCGGTGTTCTTCCGCTTTGGTTGTCCTGATGACTGCATGTCTGACCATGGAGCAGCCTTTGAATCTCACCAGTTTAAGCACTTCATGCACATGCACGGTGCTGAGATTCATTATTCAGTGGCATACCGCGCAGCCAGCAATGGTCTTGTAGAGAGAAGCAATGGGACTTTAGTCTCCGTTCTTCGTAAGCTGTGTCCAACGGACCAGACCTCCTGGGCAAGCAAACTCGAAGAAGCTGCTTTTGCCATCAACACAAGCTATAGCGCCAGCAGCTGTTTCTCTCCATTTGAACTACTGTATGGATACGTCCCCAAGCTCCCATATCAACGCCATCGTCCCGCCACAGCCAGGACCCTACAAGACCGTCTCCTAATGCTGTCTCAGAACCGGGCCGTAGCAGCAAGTAATACCGAGGAAGCACAAGGGAAACGGAAGACAGCATATGATCAGTCCCATCGAGACCACTCCTTCCAAGTCGGCCAGTTCGTCTGGGTGCGCCGCCAAGAGCCTGTAGCAGATGGAACTGGAAAGTTGGCACCCAAATTCAAGGGAATATACCAAATCACCAACCAGAAAACACCCGTTACGTTTGTCGTTAGCCGCGTAACTGGTCAAGGTCCTCGTGATCGACTCCAAGACAGGATAGTGCACGTCTCTCAACTCAAGCACTACGTGCCACCTTATGTCGAGCCTTACATTGTGAAAACCCAAGAGTGGCCTTTGTGTGACTTATCTGGCTCTCCCAGTGTTGGCAATGAGTTATCTCAACCACCAGTTTCCCTTGGCCCTGCAGTTTTGCCTCCAGCGGTACCCTCCTCGCGACCTCACCGCCAAAAGCGCCCACCCGAGCGCTTGAAGGACTATTCTCTCTCGCAGTGAAGCCACCAAGTAGTGCTCCTTTCCTAGACCAATGGGACTTGGTCAGACAAGGAGGGGCCGGATGTGAGCGCCCGCATGCGCACTATAGCGTAGCGGCCTATCTAATCGGCAGCGCCACCTGCGGCGCCTTTACTCAGATAAACTCCCAGCCCAAGCGAGGGCCGGGGACACGTTTTATCAATCTCGCTCCCGCCTCCGGCGCGGTCGGCACGTTTTCATGTTCGAATAAAGCGCATTCTTCTCGATTCACAACGCCTCTCAGCCTTCATGCCTAGCCCGCCCGGCCCTCACAACGCATGCTTCTTTTCAGCTGACTAATAGCCTGTAGTGAACCCGGGTGACGAAGCAATGACTTTGTTTTCGCGCCATCAGAGTGCATACAGAAGCACTGGTGTCAGAGTGCCACCACAATTAAAAAAAAAAAAAAACGAGGACGAACACACCTGACGAAACTGTCGGAAACGTGCAAACGACGTTTAAACGATTGTGCGCCTCCCACGCGGCTACTCCTCGGGGGCTACAGTGCGCTCCGTAGGCTCCGCTTGCTGGATTATGCGTATACGTTAAGAAGTGCGCACACACCAAATTTTTAACACAAGCACTGTATGCAGAATGCAATGTGAGCTTTGTTATTTGATTTCGCGCTCAAAGCTTGAGCACTTTTCGAGACAATGGTTTGACATGAAAATCTTTTGCCAAGTCGTGTTTGTCAGTCACACTCGTCGCGAAGTTCAGAAAAAGTGGGCGGAGAAACTTCACGAGCACAACCTCCAAAAGTTTTTTATGATGTCCCGGGGTCGAGCACTTGAGTTTGTCACGTTTCTGTAGTATTTGCGCGGCGTTGTCAAAATGCCTCCCTCCTTATTTCATTTTTGCCCTTTCGGTAGTTACTCAAAGCCGGTTTTTTCTCCATAGCTGCCATCCATTCTCTCGTTTTGCGCCTCGGCGCTCCGCCAGGAGCGCTCGCATCCCATAATAGCTCGGGGGACGGCGCTGAGGGACCGACCGCTCGGGCACAAAGTTATAGAGGAGGCTATGGCTTGCCGCTCATCACACTTTCCTATTCTAGCCACTGAAGTACAACTAGCGTCATTTCGCCTCGCGGTATTGCAGTTCAGTACGCCGCCGTTACAGATTTGCATGTTATTTTGATACAACAGCCCAAAGGTACAGTTTCTGTTCTCTAATCAGGTAGGTATTCTGTGGTTTTCTACTCCAAGTAGTAGTCGAAAGAGCATTTTTTCGCCGTCTTTGTGGTGAGAGCTGGCTTCACTTGTGTTAGCAACGCATTGCAGGAGTCACTCCAGCAATTCTTTTAAATCATTCTTGAGGGAACTTCATAGAAAAAACTTCCTCCCTGCAGAGAGAGAGTGAAAAAGTTTATTTGCGCATAACGTGGAGCACAACGTGGCACGTTGAACGTGCACAACGTTTTTTTTTTCTTCCGTGCACAACTTTTTTTTTTTTGGTGTTTATTGATGATGATAACAGCAGAAGCCGCTTACGAATCAAGTCAATCCGTTAGCTCGTTTGCTTACACCTTTCCTTCCTCCGTGTTTGCTTACAATGTACAGATTGTGGGTCCCTTTGCCCACTTGCGGGAAGACTCGCCTCTCGTGGACTTGCTGCCGTAGCGTGAGTAGAACAGCCGATGGTGGGTGACGTTATGGCATGGTTACGACTGTCATGTGGCCACGTCGGTTTCAATGAACTGCCGCGCATTCCTTTGCCTTCATGCGCGCAATGATTGCGTCTCTGCAGTCCGACTGAACAATCAAGCGGGTTGCTGCGCGTCATGTCTCCCTGCATTTGAAGGCATCTTTGCACGACGTTTATCTCACTTGCTTTGTACGGGGGCTTTCGAAACCACGTCAGTGAATCTTGGAGGATGTGTTTCCGATTGACGGTACGATACGAACCGCAACCCGCATGGTACGCAATCTTGAAATCTATCTATCTTTCGTTGATGCATCACTTCGCGCGCGTTTGTGATTTGCAGGCGTTCTGACTGCGTTCGTAGTCGTTTTTTTATTCAAAGTGGGTACTTACGAACCACTTTGTGCTTTGCCAGAACGTTTCTCAAACGCCCCGCATCCCCTTTTATCAAAAACAAAGTGGGCTAACGTCGTCCTTACGGCAGCCGACACTGGACTATTCATCATTTGCGCAAATATCGAGGCTGGCTTTCCTGCATAGTTCTTTTCAAACCAAAAGGTCTCGTTCCCTGACTGCTTTTCTCACTCATTGTGTTTTGCCTTCCCCATAGAGTTGTGTCACTCATTGTGTTTTGCCTTCCTCCATAGAGTTTCTCACAAATTCCTAGAGAAAAGTGTGGCGCCACCGTCTATGCGAATTTGTTAAGGGGCATTGTTGGAGCGCTGGGAATGAGGGTATATGTGTCTGCGAGGCTTGGTGTTGGGTGAGGCTTTGGCTCAAAAGCGAAAAAGACTGCGTAAATAAACCCTCTCTAAAACGAAACATTAATGAGCGGATCTCATTCACGCGTATAGGAGGGTTGCACGGGACGTCATCTGCTTGAGGCGCTAGCGGCGTTTGCCTCTACCGCCATGTCAGTGGTCTAAGCGTGCCCTTTTTGAAGCGGCGAGCGGCAGTGAAAGGTTGTGTGCGTGCCGCTACGTACGGTACTAACGTGGTGAAATTCGACTGAGTGCTTACGCGCGTGACTTCCGAAGTCCGGCGAAACTTCGCTACGAACATAAGGCTCACATTTGCGGCGGATATCGACCCGTTCGACTTCAGCAGTGATGAATCTGTGTGGGATGTGAAGTGTTATTCCCGCATCAAGCTCACGGACATTAAGGACCACCTTGTTGGCGGCACAAGCTTTGCAACAAGGGACGAGCTTAAAGCCTGTAAATTGATGGACGCCCACAACTATGTCACTAGCGGATGAGTCCAACAGCACCGAGTTAGAGACCTCGTACCGGCCGCCACATTGTCGTAGGAAACATGACTGGTTCCTCTTGCTCAGTGTTCGGACAAATATTTTTTTTTTCACCGCGGTGGTGTCGTTTCTCGAATTCTTTGTGTGGAAGGGCTTCACCATTTGCAAGAGCATGTGAGGTGATACAATTGTCATAGTTCGTTCGTGGTTAAGCTTAAGCCACTTGCGATCAAAAATGCTCTTTGCTGCAGGGTCCAACGACGCGCGTCGGGCAGTTACGCACCTAGAGATCACATACGGTCTCGATTGTAACTGATCGACGTTAATGTGATATCACCGTTTATCTGCTCGGCTCGTCAAAGCATGGGTAAACAAGAACGCACTGCGTCACTGACTGTTTACTAACACACCGAAATCAGTAACACGTCGCACCTACCTGAATGGTTCCGCTGATAAGCAGCGATAGCGGTCGTAGTGCGCGCGCTCGTCTCCTGCTGCGTAAACAAAGCTTCATAGCACGCCGCGAGAACCTAAGTTTCTCACCTCAAAAACAAACATCTATGATGTTGCATAGGTTCTGAACACTTACCGGAAATGAAAAGAAATGTTTAACGCACACGCGGTATAGTGTGTGGCTCAACCATCCCACCCAAATCTTTTTGATTGGTTTACAATCATCTTAGGTATGAAAAAAAAAAGCTGACATCAGGCGCATTCTTGTCACCAGTCTTCTTACTCGAGTGGTTGTAGCAACCAAATAAGGCGCAGTTCACCATTATGAGCACAGGAATCTTGCACAGGCGCGCAGCCGTGTGTATACCATATAACACCCACGTACTAGTGTATGTTCTGCGACTGCTTGCCCGCGGCGGCAGGGAGGGAGACCACAAAGATGGATGCGCTGCCTCTTCGACGCTGGCGCCATCTCGTGGGTTACGCCCCTGTGCAACCCTCCTATTATATTTTAAAATAAAAGTTCACTCTTCTTGACAGCACATGCAAACCGTGTAGAAAAGAAACGGACGACATAAACGTGACGGAATGATTGCTTGCGTTCTCGTCTGCGTGCCAAGTTGAGCGGCTGTTGCTTACTTCTTACGCTTCGTAAAATTGTACATCAACGTAGAAGGTGCTAGTGTTAAAGACAATATGTGCGTGTGTATAAAAACAAAAATTAAATGCTTATTACGTGCTCTTCAGTAAGAAATCAATCAAAGCCTGATGCGTCTTTAAGGTATAAAAATCCAAGTCAAGTTCGAAGCTCACATGTCCCGTCATTCCCTTGCATCTAGCAGCTCACTAGCGCCAGATTTCCCTATAGGTATGATTGGGAGAAACTCTATGCCCCACTCCCTTCTACAGGTGCCTCATCCACAATGCGACCTGAGGGTTCATTCGAGGTGGGACAGCCACACAGTAATGGTTGTGGGAAAAGGTCGTTTTGTCGCACTCGCGTGCCTTCACTGAAATGGCACCGCACACTGATCAGAGAGAGCCGCGTTGCTCACACTGCCTCATCTCAGTCTTTGACATTCGCCTTTAGGGGCACGCAGAAAACGGACAGGTGCGCGCAGTCTCGACATGTATCCCGGCCCCAATCCGCGGACCTTGGAGTTTCATACATTAATACCTAAAGGGGAATCTGGAGCTAATGTCTGCGTGGGCTTTCTCTGCGGTGCTTGTACCGCCATGGGAATTATGGGAAGTACAGGCTTCAGATTCGCTTTGGATGGATTACGTTCACGAGATTCGCGACGCTTTTCCAAGTGTAAAATAAAGTGATGTGAACTTGAATTTAATTGAATTTTGCTTTATTTGTTTGCATGCAAACTTTATCGTAAAATGTTTTCGTGATGAGGCCGTAAAAGTGAAACCTGGGCAAATATAACAATCAGGGTACGCATTTCTCTACCATTGAGTTCCAGATTTTGCATCAAGATTTAATGAATTATTTTTTACAACACTTGAAAACAAACATGCTTGTCTTTCTCTCAAAAGTACGGGTTATATATTCATGAAAGTAACAGTACAGTATTAAGGGAAAAACACTTAACGTTTCATCTTCTGCGTTGTAAATGCGTCTGTCTAAGTGGTTTGCCCGCAACAAACCTTTGGTTCTGTTTTGAAGTCGAACCAGCGGAACGTGACGATGTGTCTACTTAGCTTCGTCATCGTTTTGCAGTTCACCTAAAACAAATTTAGGCAAGACCCCTTCGTGAAAAAACGTGAACTCTATGCAGTATCCTGCACTGGCATGAGACGCTACATCTATGGGCAGCGGTGACTGCACGACGTTTTGTTTAATTTGTTAAATACAACTCATAAAGCTTCAACGTCGCAGTAAATTTCAGACCTAGTGGCCTCCTCGAACAGCGAAGGAGCTACTTCAATGGTTTTTACCGCACCCCACTACCCGTGCTGCGCGAAGAATGAAACAAACTGTAGAAACAAGTCTGTAGACAGTTCGCTAGCTAACTCTATCCGATCCGAAGCCTGTACTTCCCATAATTCTCATGGAGGTACACGATCAAAGTGCCAGATTCCTCTCTAGGCATGATTGAATGAAACTCTATGCCGCTGACAGATGCAGGGTGTGAGACGCGGGCGTCGCATTCCACGCTCACTGACGCTTTCTCAAGGTTGCTTTTTTTTATTTGCTAAGCTATGTATTCTGGCACTGCAGTCAGACTGGAAAACTCGACTGAACAGTGCCTATAGAAGTAAGTGGTAAAAACACAGTGAGCAAGAGAAACAGTCTGAGTGCGAGAGTAACGGTGTCTATAGAAGTAAGTGGTAAAAGCACAGTGAGCAAGAGAAACAGTCTGAGTGCGAGAGTTTTTTTTTTCTTTTGGTTGGAAAACAACCTTGCAAAAAAGCTGCCTTGTATATTTCTGCTAATGGTCAATTCAATGGTGGCACAGCGATTGGAATACTAAGATTAAAATCCATATGGATTGAAAAAGCATTTCAAGCAAGTTCGCAGTTGTACGAATGGTCCAAAGAGATTGAAATTAAGATTACGCTTTTATTTCTCAGAGATGTATGTAATTATTCTTTGTCCCATTGAGTTACACCACTGTTTTGATGATCACACCCAGAAATTCCTTCGCCGTTCAAGTCAGCCTCGTGGGCTCCCTCGCTCATTTTTAGAAGGTTTGCCTGATCTCCATGACTTGGTAAGACGTTTGATCGAAGGACATGATTTTATTCGGGGGAAATTCCCGAATCTCTTTGTGGCTTCAAACTGCATCTGCATGTTCTCGGGCGCAGCTTTCTCCTGGCAGCCAGATCCATGCTTTCATGACCACTGATGTCTGCAAAGTCCATGATGGTGTGGGTGCCATTACTGCACCCTTCCTCCCTAGTCAAGTGGCTTGAGTGGACACACACCTGTGTGACTCTATTCTTTCAGGCTCTGACTACCTCTGACACACAGGGCAACGTTTATTTTGCTTTTCATTACTCTGAAAGATGCTTTGCTGAAAGAAGTTGAGACAATTACAGATTAGACTGCACTAAGTTCTTTAAGTGGTTCATGGCTTAAGTGCTTAACTTCGGTTCCTCAGTTGAACTACGCAAACAATATCAGAAAAAGATGTTGCTTGTTAAATGAACAGGAAAGAAAAAGAATATGGGCTGAAATATGTGGCTTTTGTTGACATTGTGCAGACTGCCAATGTGCCACTCATCGACTGTACTATTGACAAAGCAAGTGGCGCTGCAAGAACGCAGCATGGTGGCACTTGCAA